GGAGAGTACCCTGGCTGGTGTGTGGGGAATTACCCTGGCTGGTGTGTGGGGAATTACCCTGGCTGGTATGTGGAGAGTACCCTGGCTGGTGTGTGGGGAATTACCCTGGCTGGTGTGTGGGGAATTACCCTGGCTGGTATGTGGAGAGTACCCTGGCTGGTGTGTGGGGAATTACCCTGGCTGGTGTGTGGGGAATTACCCTGGCTGGTATGTGGAGAGTACCCTGGCTGGTGTGTGGGGAATTACCCTGGCTGGTGTGTGGGGAATTACCCTGGCTGGTATGTGGAGAGTACCCTGGCTGGTGTGTGGGGAATTACCCTGGCTGGTGTGTCGGGAAGTACCCTGGCTGGTGTGTGGGGAAAGACCTTGGCTGGTATGTGGGGAAATACCTTGGCTGGTATGTGGGGAAGTACCCTGGCTGGTGTACCACCACCACTTTCGTATCTTTCTACAAACTTTTTTTTAAATTCTATAGTGTTTCTCACCCTCTTTACCAAAGGGCTGGCACTAGAAGCTTTCTTTGGGCTCATGGTGGCTTATTTAGCAGTTACAAGCACTAAAAAAATGGAATAATACAACATTCATTGCATGTATGCAAGGAATCGTCCTCACTGGCTGGTAATTATTATTATTATTATTATAATCAAGGGGGAAGCGCTAAACCCGGAGGATTATACAGCGCCTGGGGGGGGGGATGTGGAAGGCATTCAGGCTTAATTCGGGGAACTGGAGCACAGATCCAATTCCCTAAATCATGAGCCCCTCACCAACATCAAGGAACCTTCCTTGAGGGGACTGGCTGGTAAACAATGGCACAATGGTTGTATGTGGAGTGTCTGGGTCGCTCATGGTGCACGGACACGTTCAGGACAAATGACATTAAACGAGTTCAGTGTTGTTAACCGAGCCAACATTTTGATGCAGAAACGTTACTTAATCTGATTACTACTTAATCTGATGACGTGTGAGGGTCCACTGTACCAGGTAAAGTGTATGGTAGGGTTATTATTGAAAGAATTAGAGGTAAGACAGAGAGTAAGATGAGCAAGGAGGCATTAGAGTGGGTAGGGGATGTGTAGATCAAGTGTTTACATTGAAACATATATGTGAACAGTATTTAGATAAAGGTAGCGAAGTTTTCATTGCATTTATGGATTTAGAAAAGGCATATGATAGAGTGGATAGGGGAGCAATGTGGAAGATGTTGCAAGTGTATGGAATAGGTAGTAAGCTACTAAATGCTCTAAAGAGTTTTTATGAGGATAGTGAGGCTCAGGTTTGGGTGTGTAGGAGAGAGGGAGATTACTTTTCAGTAAAAGGTCCTTAGACAGGGATGTGTAATGTCACCATGGCTATTTAACATATTCATAGATGGGGTTGTAAAAGAAGTAAATGCTAGGGTGTTGGGGAGAGGGGTGGGATTAAATTATGGGGAATCAAATACAAAATGGGAGTTGACACAGTTACTTTTTGCTGATTATACTGTGCTCTTGGGAGATTCTAAAGAAAAGTTGCAGAGGTTAGTGCATGAGTTTCAGATGGGGTGTAAAGGGAGAAAGTTGAAAGTGACCATAGATATGAGTAAGGTGATGAGGGTATCAAATGATTTAGATAAAGAAAAATTGGATATCACATTGGAGAGTGTGAGTATGGAAGAAGTGGATGTTTTCAGATATTTGGGAGTTGACTTGTCAGTGGATGCAAAGGCAGTGATTATGTATGAGCAATGGTGAAAGTGTTGAGTGATAATGAAAGTTTTTTCTTTATTTTTGGGTCACCCTGCCTCAGTGGGACACGGCCGGATTGTTAAAAAAAATACCATGGAGACAAAACAAGGATGCCATTAAGTGGAGAAAATGAGAAGAGTTTATCACTTGATAAAGAATTTTCCCAAGAACAATAGCAGTTACTAAAATACTTCAGCTTAATGACAGGATGAAGGAAATACAATAAGAAAGAGAATTATTATTATTACAATCTGTTTGCAGACAAAACTCTTGGGACACACACAGAAAGAGGGTCTTGTGCAGTCTATACAAGAAAAATCAAATAAATGATTGCCAAAATTAAAAGCACATTATTATTATGATAACCATGCATTAAGCCTGTAAGGGTCAGCTCAAAGTACAGTAATGAGAAACTAGTCTCATTTTACTCTGTTTTTTTAAGGCTCCTCAACATCATTTTTTAAACAACCCTGAAATTAGGTTTTTTTTTGTTACAAATTACAGTAAAAAAAAGGTATATTTAACCACAGGCAAACAAATTAAGATTGGTTGATTTATAATGCTTAAAGCTTCTTCACTGCACAACGGTCATTATGGCTGCTTGTAACCTATACACCATTAATCAAAGGTTCTTTAATTTCTAAAATGGGGACTAAACTCTCAGCATATACGTACAGGGACAAACAACTGTGTATTAAATCTCCAAAATGAAAAACAGCTGCAAAATATCTGGAAGTGAGATGTGGGCAAGTCCAGGCTACATTCAAATTGGTACACATGATATGATTACTACAGTATCAAGTATTTTATTCAGGGGAAAGCACCTAACCTGTATGGGTCATGCAGTGCCTGAGGAATAAGAAGCAATCAGGCTTGATCCAAGGCAGCAGAGGGATAACTCCAATTCCTTTGATCAAGAGCCTTTCAGCAGTATTCAGGAACCCTCCTTGAATGGATGTATGGTAAGAGGACGGGAGAGAAAAGGAAACCATTAAGCCGTATAACATCTAAATGGGAGGTAACTTATCTGAGTCAAAAAGAAAGAATAGCCTAAGGATAGTCATTTTGCCGAATCTGTCGCTAGAGGCCCACATAAAATGATTGGTCCTATATAATATACACCAATGACAATAAGAAAAGACTTAAGGAATACACAAATAACCCACATGTAGGAGACTGAAGCTCATGACAACATTTTGGACTGACTTGGACCACTGAATAGTCACACAGAAAGTTGATGTTGGATTTTCTGCATAGCTATATTAAAGTTTATTTTTGAAAACAATAATATATCTGTATTTAATGAAGAATACAGTTTAGAATTTTTTTTTTAACATGTCGGCCATCTCCCACCAAGGCAGGGTGACCCAAAAAGAAAAAACTTTCATCATCACTCATACATTATCATTGTCTTTGCAGAGACACCCAGATACGACAGTTCAGATGTCCCTCCAAACTGCCAATATCCCAAACCCCTCCTTTAGAGTGCAGGCATTATACTTCCCATTTCCAGGACTCAAGTCTGTCTAACCAGTGTTCCTGAATCCCTTCAGAAAATATTACCCTGCTCACACTCCAACAGCTCGTCAGGTCCTGAAAACCATTCATCTCTATTCACTCCTATCTAACATGCTCACACACGCTTGCTGGAAGTCCAAGCCCCTCACCCACAAACCTCCTTTACCCCCTCCCCCCAACGTTTTTGGGGCCGACCCCTACCCCACCTTCCTTCCCCCACAGATTTATATGCTCTCCAAGTCATTCTTTGTTCCAGTCTCTTTAAATGACCAAACCATTTCAACAGCCCCTCTTCAGCCCTCTGACTAATACTCTTAGTAACTCCACACCTCCTAATTTCCACACTGCAAATTCTCTGTATAATATTTACACCACACATTGCCCTTAGACAGGACATCTCCACTGCCTCTAGCCACCTCCTTGCTGCAGCATTTACAACCCAAGCTTCACACCCATATAAGTGTGTTGGTACCACTATTGTACATTCCCTTCTTTGCCTACATGGATAACGATTTTTGTCTCCACAGATACCTCAACACACAACTCACCATAAAATAAACAAGTTGGATACAAATACATGTAAATTATAATGGGTACTTATAAAACCTTTTATATAACTGAGAATTTATTTGTTCATTCTTTGGTTACATTTATATACCTTCTTTGAAACACTGCATAGATGGAGTAAATTAAATTTCACAAATTTTATTCTAATGTATTACAAAGAAAAACAAGTATTAACATTTCATTTCATAAATCTTCAGATGAAATGCAAGCAGTTAATGGTAAACAAGTAGAAAGAAATTTAGTAGAAAGAAATTTAGGTTATCTCTATTATTAATAAATCATTCCAAGTCATAGTCGAGTATTTATTCCTTCAAGGGAACTTGATGCCAGTGAAGGGCTCTTAACCCAGGAAATTAGAGCTACCCCCCAGTTCCTTGGATCAAACTTGGTTGTCTCAAATTCTGCATTTCCCAGGCACTGAATGACCCCTATGGATTTAGTGCCTACCATATAATGAAAATAATAATAATAATAATAATAAAAATAACAATAAAGAGTTTATGTATAGTGATTTTAGGCTTCAGCAGAGGCAGTGCTAAAGGGGGGGGGGGGGGAAAGCACTGGGTAGTTTAAGCCTCCCAAATTCAATCAGCTCCCCTAAAGCCAAAGTAATAATAATAATAATGCTTCAAGACAAGATCTCGAGCCCTGCTCTTCCAACCAGTTTGCTACCCCTAAGCCTCTCCTATATAAAACTTGGAGAGCTGTCCCTGGGCTTCAGGGAATTCTACATTTGACTTCCATAGTGTTTTTAAATGGTACAAGAATATGCCTCAAAAAATCACCATGATAGCCTCTCAATCAGTGATAGCAGTAACATTGCATTACTATTCAACTAAGAATATTGTATATAAGCAGATTTATATTGTACATTATTAAAAGACAAACTTTTCAAAGGCATATAACTCCTCAATTTTCCTAGCAACTACTTGGGATTGAACACTTAAACGTATCTATAAAAAAAGGAAATTTCAATGTTCTTTGTTAAATGACAACATTAAAAGATCTAAAAAGAACTGAAGTAAAAAAATGAAACAATCACTCCCATAAATATGAAGATTAGAGTTTTACACATATAAGATGAACATTCCTCATTCAATCCACTGACTCGATACAAAAATGTTATAGGCCTCCATACCTGCAAGGATTAGCAAGTGGACACACATATACATAATATAAAAACTGAACAATGCAGTAGTCACTTTATTCAAAATAATTTGTGCCCAATCATCTCCTAGTTATATAAAATTCAAAATACCATAATAGAAAGTGGACTTGTCTCTTCTATTCAGACTGACAAAGAAAATCCAAATTTGAATTTTACAAATTTTTTTATTTGGAAAGCTCACAATTTCAGAGATCATTCCAAATTTTTTGAATTTGGAAGAATTCTGAATAGCAGTGTCCCAAATAAGACCTTACTGTACATATCCAGTACACTTAAAGCTAGGCTGATGATTCAAAAACCATCTTGCAGAATTTAAACTTTTGATCTTTTCACTGAAATCCTATAAAATAATATTTAATAATTACGATATAATATTTCATTTAGTAACTTCTATTGTCACATTTTTTTAAAGGTTAGATTTTTTGTGAAAGCTAATCAAACCAAATTTGTTGACAAAATTTTTATGAATTTAAAAAAGTATTATCACTGGATATACTTAAAAGACTTTAATGTTGTTACTGCATTTAGGAATATACTGTATGAAAATTGTTTTTACCTTCATATTACTTGTCCCATGCCAGCCACTATATGGATGGTAATTCATTTAAAAATGGAAACACGGGCATATTTTGGGAAAGACTTAAATTTTTTTTTTCATGCTGTAAAAGAAATGCCTTCTGAGAATACAGTGATATACTTTATTCATAAACAAATAAATTTTCTGTAAAATTAAAATAAACTGCATCTAAAAATAATGACCCAACATATACAAAAGTTTGTCAGTAAAAGAAGAATACATGAAAGGCAAAACAAGTTACATGTGTGTTCATTAAAAACTACTGTACTTATTATAACCAGCTAGAAACCAATATGTTCAAATGTTTTCCTTCAAGTAAAGACCAAAACAAGCATTGGATAAGTGGGCTCAACTGAGAGTCCTGCAATAAACTTAAAGCCAATGTAATCACACTGAATATATTTCAAAGTTTCTATTAATCAGTTACAATTTCAATACACAAATAATAACTATGCTTTCTATACAAAGAATATTGTCTCAAATTTACAATAAGAATATTCTGCTCTCAACTTAAAAATTAATTCTCACATAGTGCTACTATATACAAATAATGAACAGTATTAGAATGCTCAATTCAATGATGAGTTATTTCATCTTGTGAAAATTTCACTCTAAGTGTAATTCAGTCTTCAGTATACATACTATAAATATTCCTCCACTTATACAGTACATGTACTTTCCAGTTACTCTTTCATATTCAAGGAAAAAAATATTGTGCATTTTCCTCAAGAGATGTTTAGTATATCCCTGCAGGGAATTATTATTATATTCATGAAAAGTGCTAAACTTGGGAGTTACTTAGCACTGCACAGCAAGAGCAAAACTGATGGCAGCCCTATGAGGAAGGAAGCTACAAAGCTTTCCTTATAAGTTGTGTCTTAGAGAGATAGTAGAAGTAGACATAAATGCATTAAGGGAAGATCATCATCAGGAGCAAAAAACTGGGTGGTAACAGTTAATGTAGTAAATCAATATCAATTAAGGAATCATAAAAGTTTGCATTAAAGGTGCGAACCATCAGAGAGGAGGATGAACAGTCATCAAGGTTGGGACATGAAAATGTTTGAAATGAAGGTTTTATGCTCTGAAGAATAAGACATTTCTTGGAGAATGGCACTTAGAAAGCATATGTAGTCTACATATGCATCCATATGTACAACATGAAAGTAAAAATTTATGTATTCACAATCATACAAAACAAAGTTGGGGAAATGTATTGCCAATATCTTTGGCAGAATTCAGTTACCTTGGAACAGTTAATCATACAAATATATGCATGTGTGTGTGTGGGGGGGGAAGGATATAGTACAGTTCCTGCATTCGAAAGGTGAGAATATTTGCAGTTTGGAGGGGTATCTGAACTATAGCATTGGTGTGCCTCTGGCAAGACAATGATGGGATGAATGATGGTGAAAGTGTATCTTTTTCAGGTTACCCTACCTTGGTGGGAGACAGCCAGTGTGTTTAAAAAAAAGAAATTACACATACACACACATCTGTTTGTTTATATTTTAACACTGGCTGTCTCCCACCGGGGAAGAGTAACCCAAAAGAGAAACACTTTCACCATCATTCGTTTCATTACTGTTTTGCCAGAGGCATGCAGATACTACAGCACTACTACAGTGCATGTGCACCAAGAGAGAGAGACAGACAAAGACACAGACCAACAGACAGACACAGACACACATACAGACCAACAGACACAGACAGACAGATGCAAGCAAGGATGTGCACACACACACACACACACACACACACACACACACACACACACACACACACACACACACACACACACACACACACACACACACACACACACACAGTTGGATAGGAACCATGTAAAAATATTATAAACAGCTACTACTGTAACTATGATACAGGTATTTAGATAATAATGACTACATTCAATATACAAGATCAATTTATTAACAGATTGTGCAGGTACAAATGAAAAAAAATGATGCATATTGATAATCCAATTTAATTCTGTACTAGAATTCTGATAAAGGAATGTTTCTAAACCTCAGTTCTCAAAACAAATCTACTCAATATTTATTGAGCATTCTAGTAATCAAAAAATCTGCATATATACTGTGTATTATATGACTAAAGAAGTGACCATTAACTCAAGCCATATATGATGTTTCAGGTGAGTAGGGTTAGGTTCAATGTTCAGCTTTATGTACAGTATGATAGGCATTACGAATGAGGGCATAAGGAAAACATGCCTCCAAAAGGTCCATTGTCAGGAATGGAGATTGTACCACAATCTGAAAAAAAAAACATATGTAATTATCTTTTTATAAATTTACAAACATTTTTGTATTTTAAAATGTTCATTAGAATGAGATATGATCATATATCTTAAACTTTAAAGAAACTCACTTGGTGTAGCAAGATATAAGTAGCATCTCGATTTTTAATCACATCTTTATCATTTTCACGACCCAAGCGGAGAAGACTTGATGATGCAAGCTGAAAATATGCATGAAATTCACGTATCTGGCTGAGACTACAATTGCTAAAATGAATTTTCAAACGTAATATAAACAAGCTGTCCAGTAATTTTAATAACTGTCTCTTCCACATTAAAGTCTATTTCTTTAAATAAAACATGAAATATATATATATTGTATAGTGATGTCTATATTTCTAGAGGTTACATTTCCAGAGACTTGCAATTATGGAAAAACTGCAAAAGAATTTTAAAACAGTGAATTGGCATGTTGGTGTGTGTGTGGGGAGAAGTATTTGCATCAGTCTTCACCACCAGAAATGCACCAGTGACAAAAGTTTGTCACTGAAAATAGTGAGAAACTCCTATGACATATTAACTTTAGCTCAGCATTTAGATATGGATAGGGAAAGGCTGAAAAAGTTGTTCATAACATACATTAGATCAAAACTGATGTATGTAGTAGCAGTGTGGTGTCTACACCACACTACTACTACTGAATAGATGCAATTATACATAGGGTTTATAGCAGTGCCTATTTTTGGGAAGGCATTGCAAATAAACCCTAAACTAAAAACAAACCATAAGATGTTACTCAAAATACTCTCAATGGTTTTTTTCATGTTAAGATTTTGAAGCCAATCAGAAAAGGCAATCTTAAGTTGTTGTGCATAAACCAATATTCCAATTTTAAGCAGACACACACACTTAACTTTATTACTGAAACAAAGAACAGCTTAATGAAACTGGATATATTACCGCCAAAAACTCCTTTAATCTTTCTTCAATATCTTGACCCCGTCCACAATATGTGAAGAGTGCTGCAAACAATGTGTTAACAGCCTGAGCTAAGCAATGTGAATTGTTTGCATGAGCAGCATATGCTGTTTTGTACACCTGCCAAAGAAAAAAGTATTAGATCATTCTCACACTGCAACAACACTTGGCTTTCAGCCACAATCACTATATTGCCCTAACAGTAACTACCTCTTTCCTATCTCCTTTCTATTTCCCTTTATTTTATCTTCACATTTTATTAACCTGTAAACGGTCCAAACGTATATATACGTTTTTTCAACATTTGAAAGTATGTAAAAAAAGTAGATCTTCTTTTTGTTTTTTTACATTTGAAAATGTGTAAAAAAAACTTTGTTCTACTTTTTTTGTTATATTTGAAAATATGTAAAAAAACATAGATCTACTTTTGTAGCACTACACGTGAACGTAGATCTGCTTGGACCGTTTACAGGTTAATCTTTTCCTTTCACATTTGTATATACAATATATGCTGAAGCAATCCTCATCCTTACCACACATTCTCATTTTTCAATGTCTGCACTGACGGTGGTTACTGTTTCAGCAAGTGACTTAAACATGTAGAAAGTATGCTACATACACCTTTAAAGTGCAGGCACTGTACTTCCCACCTTTAGGACTCAAGTCCGACTAACAGGTTTCCCTAAATCCCTTCACAAAATAGTACCCTGCTCACACTACAACATCTCATCAAGTTCCAAAAACCATTTGTCTCCACTCACTCCAAACATGCTCACACATGCCTTCTGTATGTCCATGCTCTTACTTGTGTTTGTCTGCACACCTGAGAAAGCTTCAATAGGTAAATATTATCTGTGACATACCCTATATTTATAATTAAGTAATTTCCCTCAGGAGTTATAGGAGTTATTACTTAATAGAATGATTTCAAGAGTGTATAAATCTGTAGTGGAGAGAAGGTGGGGTACGGGTTGGCCTAGGAAAAGTTGGAGGGAGGGGGTAAAGGAGGTTTTGTGTGCGAGGGACTTGGACTTCCAGCAAGCATGCGTGAGCATGTTAGATAACAGAGAATGGAGACAAATGGTTTTTAGGACTTAACATGCTGCTGGAGTGTGAGCAAAGTAACATTTATGAAGGGATTCAGGGAAACCGGCAGGCCGGACTTGAGTCCTGGAAATGGGAAGTAAAGTGCCGGCACTCTGAAGGAGGGGTGTTAATGCTGCATTTTTATAACTGTAGTGTGAGCATGCCTCTGGCAAGACAATGATGGAGTGAATAATGATGAAAGCTTTCCTTTTCTGGGCCACCCTGCCTTGGTGGGAAGCAGCTGATGAGTCATTAAAAAAAATAACTCTCAAACTGTTTTGCATAAAAATCATTAAGGAATGTAATCAGTTAAATCAGCTGATATATGCAGTGGCATGATTTCAAATATAAATAAAAATAATTAACAAAATTTAATCAATTTCTTGTTTTACTGCCCTAAGAAATTTTTGGAAAAAATTCTATTTTCTATATGTAATTAGCTCTGACTAAACTTTATTATTTGGCACAAAAACTGGGTGAAAGATTACATACCAAGCTGAGACACTACCAAGTTAGCTCTCCTGAGGTTACAAATAGGTACAGTAATGACAAACAGGCTGCTCTAAATATTTTTTGTAGTTTTCATCAACATATCAGCCGTTTCCCACCCAGGCAGGGTGATCAAAAAATAAAAAAAAAGTAAGATTTTCACCGTCATCATTCACTCCATCACTGTCTTACCAGAGGTGTGCTAACACTACAGTTAAAAAACTAACATATGAACAACCCTGCTTTGGAGCACAGGCAATGTACTTCCCACCTCCAGGACTCAAATCCGACTGACCGATTTCACTGAGTCCATTCATAAATGTTACTGCTCACACTCCAACAGCACATCAAGGCATAAAAGCCATTTGTCTCCACTTGCTCCTATTTAACTCACTCATGTATGCCTTCTGGAAGTCCAAGCCCCTCACGCACAAAATGTCCTTTATTTATATTACACAAATTTCTTAACATCAGCAATTCCAAAGTTATTTAAAGGTGATGCATGGTGTGAAATATATGCAGAGAACGCAGAAAGTGAAGATTATTAGAATATGTGAAGTTACAAAAATTGTAATTCAGAGGGTTGAGGGAGGGTTGTTAGTGGTTTGGACATTTAGAGAGTAAGCAGCAGAAGCGGATGAAGAGGGTATTTAAATCTGGGGTGGAAAGGAGGGGTTGGAAGGAGGAAGTAAATGGAGTCTGGAGTGCCAGGGTCTGTAACATCCATCAGGTTTGTAAGAGTACATTAAACTGGAATTAGTGGAGACATGACTTGACATCCTGTTAGAATGTGTATAAGGTTATATTTATGAAAGGATTCAGGGAAAACAAGTTGGGTAACGATGATGCAATTTGGAAGTTCATTTGAATTATGTCAGCATACTTCTAGCAAGACAGAGATTGAATAAATGATGGTGAATGAGTTTCTTCTTTTTGTTTTTTTGGTTCACTCTGCTTAGGTGGGGGGTGGGCAGTGTTAAAAAAAAGTTCCTGAGGCTCAGTTTATATAGAATCTTCCACTATAGGATCATGAAATGTGTTCATGTTCTCAACATAAGGATCTCAGTTTAATATTATGATAGATAAAAACAAAAAGAAGCAAATGAATCATCTGGTTTACAGAAAATTCCAGTTTAACCCTTAAACTGTCTACACGTAGATATACGTGCACGTGCGCAGCACTCTGAACGTACAGTGGACCCCCGGTTAACGATTTTAATCCGTGCAAGAGGGCTCATCGTTATGCGAAATAATCGTTATGCGAATGAATTTTCCCCATAAGAAATAATGGAAATCAAATTAATCCGTGCAAGACGCCCAAAAGTATGAAAAAAATTTTTTTTTACCACATGAAATGTTAATTTTAATACACACAAACTGAAAAAGGCATGCACAATTAAATGACACTTACTTTTATTGAAGATCTGGTGATGATTGATGGGATGGGAGGAGGGGAGAGCATTATCTTCTTACTGTTTAGAAGGGGAATCCCCTTCCATTACGACTTGAGGTAGCAAGTCCTTTTCCGGGGTTACTTCCCTTCTTCTTTTAATGCCACTAGGACCAGCTTGAGAGTCACTGGACCTCTGTCGCACAACAAATCTGTCCATAGAGCTCTGTACCTCCCGTTCCTTTACGATTTGTCTAAAATGGGCCACAACATTGTCATTGAAATAGTCAACAGCACGGCTTGCAACAGCTGTGTCAGGGTGATTTTCATCTATAAAGGTTTGCAGTTCAACCCACTGTGCACACATTTCCTTAATCTTTGAAGTAGGCACAATGGATTCCACAACTGGCATAGGCTTCTCAGGGTTAGCCCCAAACCCTTCAAAATCTTTCTTAATTTCCATACTAATTCTCACCCTTTTTACCACAGGGTTGGCACTAGAAGCTTTCTTGGGGCCCATGGTCACTTATTTTCCAGAAACAGCACCGAAAATACTGTAATAATACGAAATATTCCGAGTGTATGCTTGGATGTTACCGCGGAGGCTGGCTGGTAAACAATGGGACGGAGCGGCACATGTGAGGCTGGCTGAGGGCACATTGGACGCGTCTCGGACGAAAATCGGTATGCGGGTTTTTAATCGGTATGCGGGGCAAAAATTTTGCGATAAAAGTAATCGTTATGCGGAAAAATCGCTATGCGATGCCATCGTTATGCGGGGGTCCACTGTATATCAACGTTTTATTTTTCATTCCTTCAAATTTGGTGCAATAGGCCTGATTCGCCTAGACATTAAAGAACAGGTCTGTGCAGTCAGTGTGTGCACTATGAAAAAAATTGGGGACCACTTAGTACCTTGTGGGAGCACCAGTTCAATTGAACGCCAGCTAGAGCAAATAGCATGGCAAACACCAGTGATTCACTGATGCCATATCATATTAACACTCACATTTTAAGAGGAAAATAAAAATACGTTAGATAAATACATGAGTGGGTGTGGGTGCGTTTGAGTTAGACCTGACTAGCTTGTGCTACTAGGTCAGATGCCGTGCTCCTTCCTTCAGTGGATGTGACCTGACTAGGTGGGTCATTGGTCTAAGCAGGGGCGAGGGGTGGCATGGACCTGCCTTGCATTGGTTAGTAGGCCTGCTGCAGTGTTTCTTCTTTCTTATGTTCTTATGCATTTGGCTGGGTGACTTTGGCTGTCTGTCTGTATCTGTCTATCTATATCTCTGTCTATCTGTATCTCTGTTTATATCTGTCTCTCACATGTATTCATAAATAGTCTTTTTTTTTAACAAGTCGGTCGTCTCCCACTGAGGCAGGGTGACCCAAAAAGAAAGAAAATCCCCAAAAAGAAAATACTTTCATCATTCAACACTTTTACCTCACTCACACAAAATCACTGTTTTTGCAGAGGTGCTCAGAACACAACAGTTTAGAAGCATATACATATAAAGATACACAACATATCCCTCCAAACTGCCAATATCCCAAACCCCTCTAAAAGTGCAGGCATTGTACTTCCCATTTCCAGGACTCAAGTCCGGCTATATAATAATAACTGGTTTCCCTGAATTTAAATACTACCCTGCTCACACTCCAACAGCTCATCAGGTCCCAAATACCATTCATCTCCATTCACTCCTATCTAACATGCTCACGCACGCTTGCTGGAAGTCCAAGCCCCTCGCCCACAAAACCTCCTTTCCCCCCCCCTCCAACCTTTTCGAGGACGAACCCTACCCCGCCTTCCTTCCCCTACAGATTTATACGCTCTCCATGTCATTCTACTTTGATCCATTCTCTCTAAATGACCAAACCACCTCAACAACCCTTCTTCAGCCCTCTGACTAATACAATTATACATAATGTAAATTACCTAGGATAACCCAAAAATTCCAGGCTAAGTGCTACACAATGTTTGTAGATATAAGACATAAATAAACATGACACAAAAAATAGCAGTGTCATTTGCTCAGCAATCAGGGAGCGGCCCATACACCACAAACCAACAGGTTTACTAGCCGCTCCCTGAGACAGAGGCAAGTAGATGGAAAGACAGACACACACAGGCAGACAGAAAGACAGATAAGCAGAACTAGACAGATAAGAAGAGCTAGACAGATAGACAGACAGACAGATGTACAGATAGACAGACAAACAGACATATAGAGACATGTTCGTGTGCAAGAGTAAAAACATATAAAGGCAAGGTTCCCCCCTCCAGCAGGGCACATTCATCAAATTTCACTTATCTGACCCTTGTTATAACACCATTATTCAAGGAGTTTCATACTCCAGTGTGTCTAAAACATTGCTGGGATCAATAAAGACTCAGTATATATTTCTAGACAAAAGTAAATGACCAGGGCAGGTGAAAATGTTCACCTGTCAGTGTGACTGTTACAATTTGAGTACTATTTCAATACATAATATTAGTGTCAGAACAAAGATTGGCTATGAAATTACAAGAACTATTATAAATTGTAATTATCAAAACATAAAAATTATATAAATTAAAATAAAAATGAGAAAAAAGGTAAATCGGCAACACTTCTGCAAGCGGCAGGACTGGATGTTGCCGTCAGGTGTGCATCCAGAGCTAACTTCATGGTCTTATATCTCGGTAAGTACTGGTCCTAAAAAAAATTTTTTTTTTGGTCTTATACCACACAGAAAATTGCCCTCTTTAATTTAAAAATAAAAAACTATTTTTTTATTTTTCAAAATATTCAGAGCACCACGCAGGTTAACGTAGATCTACGTTTGGACAGTTTAAGGGTTAATGAGGTTCTGATTTGGAACAGCATCACTGTAATGTGCTTCATCACTGGTAGAATTAAAGCTATGACTACACTAGTAGTCATAGCTTTAATTCTACCAAACAAAAATAATGTTTTATGTTAAATGAAATATTAATTATATATTTAAGAAAATAATTGACATGTGAGGAAAAAATCATGAATGAATGATTAACCTAGTAAGAGAAATCTCTGACCCCTCTACTACTTACTGTACTATCCATACGAGCTAATTTTGGAATGGACACAGCAACAAACACCATTAACAAACATGTGATGACAAATTCTTCATCTGGCACCTCTGAAAAGAAGCCAATGGATCATGCATAAAGAGAAAGGAAAGGTATTAAAAGTGAATGACAACACAGTATATGCTAATAACTACCAGTAAGTTATTTAATTTAATAGTTGTAAAGTAATTTTAAATATACATGTACAGTATTATACAGCCTCTCCTCACTGAACGATGCAGTTCCATTCCCAAGACCAAGTCAGTAAATTAATTTGTCACTAAGCAAGAAGTTTACTATAATGGTAGTGGGTTTGTGTCAACCATCTTTGATTTTTTTTTTCAACAAGTCGGCCGTCTCCCACCGAGGCAGGGTGACCCAAAAAAGAAAGAAAATCCCCAAAAAGAAAATACTTTCATCATCATTCAACACTTTCACCACACTCGCACATTATCACTGTTTTTGCAGAGGTGCTCAGAATACAACAGTTTAGAAGCATACACATATAAAGATACACAACATATCCCTCCAAACTGCCAATATCTTTGATATTGTTTTAATATCAACTTTGTACCATTTATAACATTTTTAGTATATTTTTAAATGTTTATACAGTAGTGTACTGAATATAGTAATAGTAGTAAACAGAATAGAGGAAATCAGCTCTAATATATATTATTTAGGTATGCATACTGGTCAGAGAGCCAGTCATAAGTCCAAGTCGTCTGTATACGAGTAAGTTGCTAAGTGAGGAGAGGCTGTACTGTATATTTTTTTTTTTCTTATTTGGAGTAATCCCTATGATGTACATGTTTATGAAAACCCATGATAATGTAAAAAAAAAAAAAAAAAAAAAAAATGCCAGTATCACATAGCACTGAAGAACATACTCTTTCATTAAAAATATTTTATTTCATTTTGTTTATCAGGCTGGCTTTTATGTGATCAAACTCACAAGCATAAAATGAAAATACAGTGTGGTCCTTTGAGTTACGATGGTCTTGTGTTATGATAATTCTGAGTTACGATTTACCCACTCATGAAGGAATTTGAGTTGCAATGAAAAATTTGAAATATGATACGTGTATGATGGCTGGTAAGCAAGGGTGGGCCTCATCCAACCAGCAATGTGGGGGTGTGTGGGGTGGCTTAGCAGCTAATCAGCAATGGGAAGGAATGTCTCTTGGGTAGCATCTCAGCCAATAGCAGTGGTTTGTACGTACTATGGTTTATTATTTCCTCTTCAGTCTGAAGCTACCACATATGTTGCTTGCACCAATTCCAGATTATTTACCCTTCATAACTGCATCTGTGATTTAATTACATGATTTTTTTGTGTTACCAAGTCATCATGGCCCCTCTTCACCCTCTGTCCCTATCACCAAACCACCAATTCTTCAAGTCTAAGGTAGAGTAAAACTTGTGCTTCTGGGGCCCTTGGGCCGAATTACCGTGAAACCATGTATTTTTGGGGTTGAGTTACAGTAGTTTTGAGGAACGATGTCTTCTGGAATGAATTATTACTGCAACTCAAGGGACCACTGTACTGTATAGAAAAAATTAAAGCAACCAACACAAAAAAGGGGAGGAAATTTTTTCTGGGAAATGTATCATTGGAACAGATATATGTGAAAAAATACCTGTGTGTTGTCAAGTGGTCCATTCATCAGTACAGATAATTATAACTTGGGCATTCATAACCAGGTAGTCTATATATCCGATAGCAACCAAGAAACAAAATGCATACTGTATGTATATATCCTTGCTCCCAAGGAAAAGAATTAATTTCATAAATTATTATTCATTGCTAATGAATGTATTTTTAATGTTATTAGATTCTGACAAATAAATTATACTATAATAAAGTAATGCACTGGAAATATTTCCTAGCAAGCCATTCAATTTCACTTCTATTATTAAGTACCTGGACATAAATATTTTTTTTTTTTCAACAAGTCGGCTATCTCCCACTGAGGCAGGGTGACCCAAAAAGAAAGAAAATCCCCAAAAAGGAAATACTTTCATCATCATTCAACACTTTCACCTCACTTATACATAATCACTGTTTTTGCAGAGGTGCCCAGAACACAACAGTTTAGAAGCATATACGTATAAAGATACACAACATATTCCTCCAAACTGCCAATATCCCAAACCCCTCCTTTAAAGTGCAGGCACTGTACTTCCCATTTCCAGTACTCAAGTCCGACTATATAAAAATGACCAGTTTCCCTGAATCCCTTCACTAAATATTACCCTGCTCACACTCCAACAGATCGTCAGGCCTTCCTTCCCCTACAGATTTATACACTCTCCATGTCATTCTACTTTGATCCATTCTCTCTAAATGACCAAACCACCTCAACAACCCCTCTTCAGCCCTCTGACTAATACTTTTATTAACTCCACACCTTCTCCTAATTTCCACACTCCGAATTCTCTGCATAATATTTACACCACACACTGCCCTAAGACAGGACATCTCCATTGCCTCCAACCACCTCCTCACTGCAGCATTTACAACCCAAGCTTCACATCCATATAAGTGTTGGTACCACTATACTTCCATACATTCCATTTTTTGCCTCCATAGATAACGTTTCTTGTCTCCACATATACCTCAACGCACCACTCACCTTTTTTCTTTCATCAATTCTATGGTTAACCTCATCCTTCATAAACCCATCCACTGACATGTCAACTCCCAAAAATCTGAAAACATTCACTTCTTCCATTCTCCCTCTCTCCAATGTGATATCTAATTTTTCTTTATCTAAATAGAAATCTTCTTTTTTCAACAAACCGGCCGTATCCCACTGAGGCAGGGTGGCCCAAAAAGAAAAACAAACGTTTCTCTTTTTAAATTTAGTAATTTATACAGAAGGGGTTACTAGCCCCTTGCTCCCGGCATTTTAGTCGCCTCTTACAACATGCATGGCTTAAGGAGGAAGAATTCTGTTCCACTTCCCCATGGAGATAAGAGGAAATAAACAAGAACAAGAACTAGAAAGAAAATTGCAGAAAACCCAGAGAGGTGTGTGTATATATACGTATATATGCTTGTACAAGTATGTGTAGTGTGACCTAAGAGTAAGTAGAAGTAGCAAGACATACCTGAAATCTTGCATGTTTATGAGACAGAAAAAAGGACACCAGCAATCCTACCATCATGTAAAACAATTACAGGCTTTCGTTTTACACTCACTTGGCAGGACGGTAGTACCTCTCTGGGCGGTTGCTGTCTACCAACCTACTACCTTTTCTAAATATAAATATAAACATAAATATAGAGTTAATTAAACACTGATATTCTTACCACTTTTGTGGGATCGTAATACATTGACTAATGCTGGGTCCACGTCACAAGGATGACCAGCAGCTGATGACATTTCATTCACAAGCTAGAATAAAGTATAAATTACAGCTATTATTCAGTAACAAAGCCACCAAAGGAAAAAATTCCTAATTTATTATTTGTCACATGTCCTTGTATCTAATGTTCACCTAAATTAAATAATGTAATTACAAGACAATGTTTGTTGTTACCAAATGGTGGATAATTGGTAATTAATGTATTTTTTGTTTTGAAATGTTAATAAAATAAAATAGAGTACAATTAATAATTACTATAGTGTAAAATACGACAAAATATCAACAAAATGATAACGGCTAAAGATTAATTATTTTTTCTTAATTAATACAGAAAAATTATTTAAGTAATTCTCTTGATTTCAAAAGAAAATAAATAAATACTAAATTACAGTACTTAGTAATAATTACAATAACATTTTGCATAACTATTTATGTTATACTAAAGAAATGCAGTATATTATTAAGTATAAATAAAAAACTTCATTAAAATAAATAATGCCTTGTTAATGCACGTACAATTCACACGAAAATCTTATCTGGCAAAATAAGCTCAAGTCTTATACAACCCTGTAAAGTATACACTAATAAGGATTTTCAAGCATATGTCTGTGCCAGTGTAAAGTGATGTGTACACCTATAAAAAGCACAATAATGACTACATTGAAGTTACACAGTACAAGTTCAGAGAACTATAACAAAGATAAATGAGATATGTTGATATTTTTTATATGCATGAGATGTGCATGTTTAGGGGAATGTGAAAGAATGGCTCAGGAGGTTAATTTGAATATCAGTAACAAGAAAATTCAGGCATAACTTCAAGTATTGTGTGAAGAAACCATGCCAAATATGGGTTGAGAAACTAAATATATAGCACACTTTGCAAGTATTGTACTCCCTCAGCATCTTAGGAGGATGTTCTGCTAGAGGTCGAACATGGTAAACCCGTAAATATAGAACTTTGGTTTCAAAAGTTAAAAAAAGAATGTGTTCTGGAACTTTCCCTGGCACTCATACCAAGTATAGTATTAATCTACCAGGTAACTTGTGCTGTTTTGGGTCACTTGCAGTAACAAATTAGTCATCTAACACACAAAATATTGTTGCAAGGGGAAGTTCATTTTGCCCAAGTCGTGCCTCTAGAACCCCAGTTACTGGATCACTATACAAGACCTTATGAAAGTTGTTTAGCTGGGAGCCAAGCTTGTGAATAATAGCATATTACTGTACATGAACTGAAATTCTGGAAGACTAGCATGTAGACCATGGTATAATAGCACACTCAAGTCTTGTATCTGCCAGTTGGACTCGCATACTTGTGAGCACAGGTAATAGGATATAGTGCACTACTTTAATACAAAATGCGCAAAACTCAAAGAAACTGAGGGAGTACGGTAGAATGTGGAACACACCAAAGTAGAAACAAGCTGAGGATAGCAAAATTATGGATTTTAGCAAATACAGTATGGTTACCTAACAAAAGTAGCTGAGTGAAGATGCTTTAAGAATGGTTTCTGTCTCCCAGCTATGTTAAGTTAATACAATAGGTAATACTGGCAAAAGATGCATGATATGTGTCTATGTAAAATACAGTAGATATTGATTAATAGTTGCAGATGCAATTCTACTGCTAAGAATAATTTTGTAGTTGAGCATCACTATCCTGGTCTCATTCATCCCAGACACAACAGCTGCTTATTCTGGATAAATCTACCATTATGCATTTATGTAAATACAGTATGCAGCTTAGAGAAAATTGAGGTGTACATGGCAGTTGATGCCCAGGCATATCACAATTTAACTAATTAAACATACTTTGTGTTTTAACAAATCTGTATCCCATATTTACAGTACAGTCTAAATTCTAAATTACTACTACACAAACCTACACAGGATGGTAGAGTAATTCTTTATATGTTCTGCATGATGGTGACTATGATACTAAACTATATGGAACAGAACAGAGCAAGAAAGTGAGGAATTAATAAGGAAGTGTAACACTGTCACTACTTCATATATACTCTTCTCAATTATCAATACTAACATAATAAAGACAATTGGAATGCCCCCAAAAAGCTACTTCTAACGACACCAGACAAGAGGAGAGAAAATGAGAGAGAGGAAGCAGGTAAAAAAGAAAGAGTACAAAACATGTGTGTTATGAACAATCAAAATGTTCTCAGTTTGTGAATATGATGCAACTGCAGAGAAGTAACAGGTGAAAATATCTGCCTATCTTTTTTAATAAAGAAGTATTATTCCTTGCTCCTGAAGTACAAGTTTATAATAAAAATAATATCTTGAACAACTCATGTTTAATATAAAAAATTAATACTGTAAACCCTCAATTTAAAGAACATATAGGGAGGAGTAAGGGGCTGGTAATGGCTACTGTGGTGAACAGAGATGAGATAGCAGTAATGATCATAATAATGAACAATTCTGTAATCAATAATCTATGTTCCTTGTTTTCAAATCAACTGACTTGGTAGATTATATCTTGTATTTCTGAAGTTCATTAAATCAAGGGTTTACTGTGTTATCCTATTTTAAGTCACATGATTATGTAATGGTACCAGAGCCAACACTGGCTCTGTCACTCAGAGCTGTGAGTGTTCTGAATGGTACCTTTGCTTGAACATATTCCACTGCAATTTTGCAGTTTCCAAAACTTCTACCCAGAGGATGTTTCAATCATTTACAAAACATGCACCAAAATCAATGGAAGAGAACAAATAAAGAAAGTTGCAGTAAGTATGTTATTTACTTTTATACGTATATGTACTCTCGGTCTTTACCAAAATTTCAGTACTAGAAGAAAACTTCTGGTTCCAACAAGTCAGGAATACTGGTTTCAGTTGCAATATAATTTACATTATATGTTTAGACTGCAGAACACACAAACTAGGTACAAACATTTATCTCAGGCTGGAGGAGATTCAAGCCTACAAACTCTGGGACAAAATACACAGTACAGTGGACCCCCGCATAACGATTACCTCCGAATGCGACCAATTATGTTAGTGTATTTATGTAAGTGCGTTTGTACGTGTATGTTTGGGGGTCTGAAATGGACTAATCTACTTCACAATATTCCTTATGGGAATAAATTTGGTCAGTACTGGCACCTGAACATACTTATGGAGTGAAAAAATATCGTTAACCGGGGGTCCACTGTACTATGCACACTGTGCCAAACTGGTTTAGTGTACTTTGTTCCCTAGTTCACAGGTTCGAATCTCCTCTAGCCTGAGATAAATGATTTTAGTATATAAACAATGAACTAGAGTTCTGGAGGTGCAAAGTACAGTATAATGCCTGCACTGAAGGATTAGAAAAGAGGTTTTGATTCAAAGGGTCATTTGAATTGTGATGTCTGCATACTTGTAGCAAGATATCTATTCAATAAGTGATAAGTACAGTAAATGTACTTCCTTGTTTGAGTGAACCATCTATTAATACAAATAATACTGTAATAAAAAATATTTAAGTGAAAATACAAAGAAAATCCCTAAGAGAAAAGCAGATAAAACACTTAAAAGGACAACAATTCAGTTTTTGATCAGCAAATTAAGTATATTATTATTAAGATACTATGTCAGTCAAAGGAATTATTCAAGGGAGAAATGGATAGGCAGACTGAACTTTGTTAGCTTTCAAGAAACCTTTAACTAAAATTTCTCACAAAAGACAATAACCTGAATTGCAAAATACTACAGTAGAAATAAAAGAGAAAACTATTACAGAGGATAAGAGAGTGTCTGGTTGAAATATACAAAACATAAAAGTAGACGTAATATCCTCATAGGGTAATCTCACTAGCGTAGTATGCAAAGATCAGTGATTGCACTGTAATGTTTCTAATTTATATAAATGACTAACCAACAGTAAAAACTCCATAAAGATGTCTGTGAATAATGCAAAGATTCTGTGTAAGTGAGCAATAAAAAATTACCAAATCTGTGCAAGTCTTGGGAAGACTGATAATGTGGGGGTGAGACAAAATAATAAATTTAACGTGGGTAAATACCATGTAATGGAAATGGGGAGAAAACAAAAACAGGCCACATGAACACTACAGATTGTGATATAATTTCAAAAACATCAGAGACAGATTCAAGTCATGTAACAAGAGACTGCTGCCAAAAGATCATATTAAATAAATATTAAGAAACTTCTAGGCTGGTTAAGCAGGACCATCAACAGTGAGAATAAAACCCCAGAGTTATAAACTGAGGAAGAAGAGGTACCAAAAGTATACTAGACAATTCATCAGAATGAAAGAACACTGGAATGAGTTGAGAGATTTCCTAAAAATTAAGTGGCACTTTAGATATTGAAGACAGGATATCATGTAACTAGAAACAGGTAATTAACTAGAGATATTCAGCCAAGGGAACGGCTAGTATTACTGCTAGTTAGAAGCAGGTAAAACTACAATAATAATAATATTGGCTAGTGATACTTAAATTCCAGGCACAAAATCTTTCAATATATTTGATGCTATCCATTTATACAATATGTATTTGAACATGCATATATCCAGGATGAATGTAGGAGAAAAGTAGCCAAAGAATATTTTGTGCTTGTTAATAGGTTATATCTCAGACCGATGTAAGTAATGTGCAGGATAAAGGAGATTTAGGGAGATCAAATGAAAACTTAACCCCTTCAGGGTTTCTGATGTACTAGTATGGCTTACGCACCAGGGTTTTTGACATACTAGTACGCCTAAATTCTAGCGCCCTCAAATCTAGTGAGAGAAAGCTGGTAGGCCTACATATGAAAGAATGGGTCTATGTGGTTAGTGTGTGCAGTATAAAAAAAATCCTGCAGCACACAGTGTGTAATGAGAAAAAAAAACTTGACAGTGTTTTTGGTTTAAAACAGCGACTTTGCACTGTATTTTCGTATGGTATTTATGACGGTATTCTAGTTTTTCTGGTCTCATTTTACAGAATGGAAGACATACTACAGAAATTGAGATGATTTTGATTGGTTTTACAATGAAAAGTACCTTGAAATTGAGCTCAAAGAAGCAGAAATCTTCGATTTTTGCCAAAGTTCAAAAGTAAACAAATCATGCTACGCGTCCAATACACGTCAACTGGTGAGTCTGATGTTCTTTCACAAGTGCTCTGATATTATTTATAACATTTCTACACTAATGCAGTAGTCTGCATAACAGTAAATCTTCTACTTTTTGTGAGAATAAAAATTCAAAGTGGAAAGCAAAAGAATGTAAGAGGGGCGTGGGGACGTGAGTAATGAACAGAGGAAATGTTATTTTAGTGCCAGGAATGTCTTTCTTGTTTATCCTGGACCCTATTTGGAAATTGGCATCTTTTGAAATTTGTGTGAAATTGGCAAAATTGCTAAATTCTGACCACTTTATTGGACAGTTGAAATCGGTAAATGGGTGATTTTTTGTACTCATTCGATAGAAAAAATGGAGTTCTAGCGAAATAGTGGAATTGGCCAAAAATAGGGCTCAAAGTGGGCAAAATCGCCGATGCGTAAACATCGTCAAGACCGCTAACTTCGCGAGAGCATAATTCCGCAAGTTTTCCATCAAATTTCATATTTTTGCTGTCATTATGATCGGGAAAAGATTCTCTATCTTTCCATAAGAAAAAAATAATTTTTTTTTCCGAATAATTTTCGACCCTGAGAACAAGTTTTGGAGAGGGCCTCTCGACCTTGAAAGGGCTAAATACCCAAGGCTAAAATATTAATTTTGATACACACCACGTACAGCACATACTTAATGCATTGTACCTTAATTTAGTAAAATAAAAGCCATATTTTTCTCAGGGAGTTTTATAAATACCATAGACAAATTCAATTTGCCTTAGCATGAAATGGCTAATGTGGTTAAAATAAGAAATAGCACATTTCAGGATGAATGAGCCTATAATAATAGTGATGTCATGCTGGGCCAAGAGTACCTTAAAGACAACACTGGCTATCTATGCAGTATAAACTAATTATAAAAAGATTTCAACATACTGCACTGTACACAAGAAAATGAAATAATAAAGAATGATTTAACTGAAAGTGCTGGAAAGCCATGAAAATTAAGAGGACTTGGATCTAATCCATACCCAGAGAATACAAGATATGCCAACAACCTAAAAATAATTATGCTAATTAAAGGAGAGCAAGAAACTTTGAAAAAGAAATAGTGAAGACAAAGGCAGAACTAATTTTTTTTTTAACACCGACTGTCTCCACCGATGCAAGATGACCCAACAAAGAAGGAAAGTTTTTCTTCTTTTTACATATAGTAATTAACACAAGAAGGGGTTACTAGCCCCTTGTTCCTGGCATTTTAGTCGCCTCTTACAACACGCAAGGTTAAGCTTAAAGAGAAAGGATTCTTTCCCATTTCCCCACGGAGATGGAACAAAATCTACTGAAATTTGTAAAATCCAAACTATATGTCAGAGACAATATACAGCAAATAAAAACCCATAAAACTGGCAAACTGGAGAACATATGTCTAATACTAAACATGAAGTACCAGAGCAATTAAAAAAAATGGGGAAAAAACTAAGTGAAATGGATTTGAGCCACCTGCCCCAGTACCAGGTTGCAATGGAACCCAACAAAATAACCAAGAACAGACCTTGGGTTTTAAGTGTGTGCAAAGCAACTAGGTCATCCACTCATATGTTTTCTAAGATTGTATAACAAGAAGGCAAACTGGTAGTCAAAGTAAAAATGAGCAAAATATTGTACTGAGAGATGAAACCTGTTGTTTATCAGATTATTCAATTCAAATCTAATAACAATGCCTGTGAGACTTTTAGAAGAAAAAGACAGGTTTCATGTTTTACTGTACTGGGGCAAGGTTTTTTTTTTTGTAGAAATTATGAAGTGATGTGCAGTTTTCTATTTGAAGGAAAATGTAAACAGTAACAAAAGAAAAAATGAGCTAACAAAGATCAGTCATGCCCCAGTAGTATTTATAATTTATGAGACTGACTTGCCAGGACTAAGATTGTATGAACATCTGCAGATGCAAAAACCCCACTCAAAATAAGTATAGTACAAAATGACTGCAGCCAATCCCTACAAGACAGATAAATTGAGTAAATGGGGCGACAGATGTATGATGAAGAATAAAATTTGTGATAAAATATTAAATGTACCAGACAGAATGAGTGATCCCAGAGTAGTTATAGACAAGACTGGAATATCATATTAATAAGCTAAAATGCTCATATGCTATACTACCAAGCTTCAAAATAACCTTTGGATATATGAAAGACAAGTGTTTATAAAAATAATGTTTTTATCAAACATTAAACCAAAACTGGAATATCTAAGGTAGTGTGAAGTCTGCACATAAAAAAATATGCAGTTAATACAATTATAGGAACTAATCACAAAAGTGCTAAACCCAGAAGGGTCATTTAGCATGCTACAAAATGGCTCCCAGAGCTAAGATTTATAACTTAGGATCCAGAGAACAAAAAATGCCTTAAGATAACCACATATAAGATGATAAAAGGAAAGAAAAATACACGACTATGTGTTAGCACAATCAAAGAAGAGCAAGAGGCCAAAATTGTGAAGAAAAAAAAAATTATTCTAAAGGATACTAATCAATATTTTCTCCACAAAGTAGTAAAGTAGTGAAATGACATCCAAGGACATCAGTCAGGACACACTGAGCACAACTCAGGTCCTACTACTATATATAATCAAGAAATAGATAATCACACTACTCATCACTGAAAAGTTTTGGGATGATAATTTTTACAGAATTCCATCCAAATTATTAATAAAAATGCTAAAATTACAAAGGTTAAAAATTCTAAATATATGAATGATACACTATATGCAATAGAATTCTATTATATTATCATCCCCAGTTATATTTCTATCTACAGTATATATGTATATCAAATATGTTAGAGTATATGAAAAACCAAAACCAGAACATTAGTAAGCTAAATACTTGATTGAGAATTGAATGATATTGCAGTAGTCAACACAGGCTTCAGTCTTATTAGTGCTTTTTGTCCCAGTTATAGCAGTGAAAATAAAGCAGTTGAAGTAAACTGAACATTGTGCAGGCTCTTTTTTGTGCTCCATTTACAAACTTGAAGGGGGGAAAAAATCAGAGCAGATTTTAAGTCTCCCAGAACGTGCACATATGTCGGATCTTTCCATTTTGATTTTTGAACAGTATAGCATACATGATACCATCACCACAACCAGGATTATTATTAATAGCACTAATAACAATGCAATTATCATTATTTCCATCACCTTTACCAGCACCGTTTCCCAAGCATGCTAAAAAGAACTCACTCTCTGCTAACCTGCAGCTTAATGTTCTCAATCTGCTCATGAACCCCCGCATCACATGGGAAGGAATAGTGTATTAGTATCCTGCAGTTTTTCACTCTTTCTCACGGATTTAAGTATAAAACCATAAGCTGTTTGAACCTCAGATGGAGTTAAAACACATCTAAGGCTTATCTTTCAACTACTGTACTGTAAATATAAGAGTTGTGCCTTGAAAGAGAAAATATGAGAGTTGCAATTAAACTTTTAACAATGTCTTTATCCTAATTAAGCTGAGCCTAGTGTGAACTCCATCAAAAGCATAGACATGATTAGCTCTATTAACCCTTGGTGTCAAGTTTCAATGAAGCTGTTTTATTTAAAAGAAAATGAGCCTAAAAGAAACCCCCTGGCAAGCTGATCAGTGAGCCAGATGTGTTCAAGATCATTTCTTAGTTTATGTGAGAAAAGTTTTTAATCTCTCATGAAGAATCTCATGAGAATCCATATGAACATTTAGAACAGAATACTCAAAATGCATTCCCAGAGATTTTATCTCAACAATCCACTAATTGGCTCATCAATTAAAAGCATGTTATTAAGAAGCAGAACAACAGACTTTCCTGATTGATCTGAAACTGATGAAGGAAAATATCTGTTGAGAATTAAATGATAGGCAACAGTAATAAGAAATATTTTTTAAGAAGTTATCACTCTTTTTCATGGATACACAAGCAGTATTAAATTAAGTGTTAACAGTGTTCATGATATTTATTTGCTATAGTATATACAATCATTATAAATATACAAATTGTAATTATACAATAAAATAATTACACATATATCAAGAAAATTGCATATCGAAGTATTGATCCCACAATTAAGAGTTATGCAGTGCAAATATTTAATTTACAATCATCTACACACCTATCTAGCCATGATGAGTCTGCTGATGATCAATGTGCTGATAAATATTACTGTATTATATTTATGGTGAAATGTTATACCCAAAGGGTTGTTGTTTAAGTTACAAAGCACTAGAACTGACTAGTTATTCAGTGGTTTAACATATTCCACCTCTAACATTGTCAGACTAACACAATCCTTATCAACTTGTTACTTTCTTGACTGATTCACTCAGTCAAAAAGTAAAACTATTTAAAATCTATCTTCCATGCTCTACAAACTACATCAATAATTTGTTTAATGTCACTGACCTTATCAACAGATTTAGATAAAAAGAGAAACATCCCAATATTTGCACTAAAAAACAAGATGTTGGGTTCTTACTTAAGCATCTTGTGGGAAGAATGGCACCCCTCAGAGAGAAGATGTCTCCATCCCTATACACAAAGCACCCCACCACCTTGTTAAGATGACCCAGCATCCAGAACCTAAACCTGTAGTGGTCATACTGTGACTAGGGCATGGGAGGTAATCAAGTATGATCCAGTAAAGGGAAGGGCAGCTCTAATTCACTGGATCAAAATCCCTTCACCAATATCAAGACACCCCTCTCAAGGGAGTTAGTGCAGAGAACTTAAGAATTTAGTGGTAAGCAGAGCATATCTTAGGATAAATAGTATCCATATAGATTGAAAACACTGTACATATTTAAGCTTTTACAAATGGATACCATTTACAAAACTACCTCTCACAGCTTATTCCCAATTATATTTAATAAAGACATGGCACTGACAAGTGGTAAATAAACAATTTTGTACCAATCAAGACTTCACCGCATTAAGAATATTTACCCCTTATTCCTTTTATTTTTTAATTCTTCTTTGAGATAATGTATCATTAGGACACCACACTACAGATAACAATAACAATAAATTTCAACTGATTCTAGCCAATGCCTACATGTATTTAGGGCTAGTTCACTGGGACTGACGCACTCAGCCAATAGTTGAATTACATTGTCTACTGTTTTTATAGTGGCCTAGTTCATGGGCCACATTATGCCATTCTCAGTGTGGTGACCTAGTCCAAGGGCTCCATTATGACATTCTCAGTGTGGTGGCCTAGTCCAAGGACACAATACGCAATTCTAAGTGTGGTGGCCTAGTCCAAGGACATAATATGCAATTCTGAGTGTGGTGGCCTAGTCCAAGGACACAATATGCAATTCTGAGTGGTGGCCTAGTACACAGGCCACATAACATTCCGAGTATGGTGAACTAGTCCATGGACCACTTAACATTTTGGTAATAGTGCCCTAAAACTCTAAAAATATATTATGTACAGGAAACAAGGCTTTATATTCGCAAATACACAGAGAAATGCACAGCAAAAATCCCAATCTAACTAAAATTTCTTGCAATAAGTGTTAGGATTACAAAATGGTTTCAAGTTAATATATTTTCAAGTATGATTTTTAAAGGCAGTACCCAGGTAGGTACTACCGTCCTTCAAAGTGAGTGTAAAACAAAAGCCTGTAATTGTTTTACATGATGGTAGGATTGCTGGTGTCTTTTTTCTGTCTCATAAACATGCAAGATCTCAGATATGCCTTGTTACGTCTACTTACACTTAGATCACACTGCACATACATGTACACATTTATATATACACACACACATCTGGGTATTACTGGATTTTATCTTAGTAGTTCTCATTTTTATTGCTTTTCCTTTTATATCCATGGGGAAGTGGAATAAGAATCTTTCCTCAGTAAACCATGATTGTTGTAAAAGTCATCTAAAATGCCGGGAACAATGGGCTAGTAACCCCTTTTCCTGTATAGCCTACTAAAAAGAAAAAGAAGAACACCATCAGAGTGGGATGTTTGAATGTGCGTGGATGTTGTGCGAATGATAAGAAAGAGATGATTGTGGATGTTATGAATGAGAAGAAGCTAGATGTCCTGGCTTTAAGTGAAACAAAGCTGAAGGGGGTGGGAGAGTTTCAGTGGGGAGAAATAAATGGGATTAGGTCAGGGGTTTCAAAAAGAGTTAGAGCTAAAGGAGTAGCAACAATATTGAAGGATAAGCTATGGCAGGAAAAGAGGGAATATAAATGTATTAATTCAAGGATTATGTGGTGTAAAATAAAGGTTGGATGTGAAAAGTGGGTTATAGTAAGCATTTATGCACCTGGAGAAGAGAGAAGTGTAGAGGAGAGAGAGAGAGAGATTTTGGGAAATGTTGAGTGGGTGCATGGGGAGTTTTGACCCAAGTGTGAGAGTATTTGTGGTTGGGGATTTCAATGTGGAAGTGGGTAAAAATGTTGTGGAGGGAGTAGTAGGTAAATTTGGGGTGCCAGGGGTAAATGAAAATGAGGAGCCTTTAATTGAACTATGTGAAGAAAGAGGTTTGGTAATAAGCAATGCATATTTTAAGAAAAAGAGGATAAATAGTATGCAAGGTATGATATATCAAGTAATGAAAGAAGTTTGTTAGATCATGTATTGGTGGATAAAAGGTTGATGGGTAGGCTTCAGGATGTACATGTTTATAAAGGGGCAACTGATATATCGGATCATTATTTAGTTGTAGCTACAGTTAAGAGTAAGAGGTAGATGGGATGAAAGGAAAATGGAAACAAGAGAGAGGTGAAAGTGTATAAACTTAGAGAGGAGGAAGTTAGGGTGAGATATAAGCAACTATTGGCAGAAAGATGGGCTGGTGCAAGTATGAGTAGTGGGGGGGTTGAAGAGGGTTGGAATAGTTTTAAAAATGCAGTATTAGAATGTGGGGCAGAAGTTTGTGGTTATAGGAGGGTGGGGGCAGAAGGAAACAGAAGTGATTGGTGGAATGATGAAGTAAAGGGTGTGATAAAAGAGAAAAAGGCAGTTTATGAGAGGTTTTTTACAAAGCAGAAGTGTTATAAGAAGAGCAGAGTACATGGAGAGTAGAAGAAAGGTGAAGAGAGTGGTGAGCGAGTGGAAAAGGAGAGCAGATGATAGAATGGGAGAGGCAGTCAATAAATTTTGATGAAAACAAAAAAAATTTGGAGCGAGATAAACAAGTTAAGAAAGCCTAGGGAACGAATGGATTTATCAGTTAAAAACAGAGTAGGGGAGTTGGTAGAGGGGAAGCTGGATGTATTGGGTAGATAGCGGGAATATTTTGAGGAACTTTTAAATGTCAACGAAGAAAGGGAGGCAGTCATTTCATGAACTGGCCAGGGAGGTATAACATCTTTTTGGAGTGAAGAACTGCAAGATGTGAGTGTGGGGAGGTGCATGAGACATTACATAAAATGAAAGGGGGTAAAGCAGCAGGAGCTGATGGAATCATGACAGAAATGTTAAAAGCAGGGGGGGGGGGTTGATACAGTGTTGGAGTGGTTGGTATTTTTGTTTAATAAATGTATGGAAGAGGGGAAGGTACCAAGGGACTGGCAGAGAGCATGTATAGTTCCTTTATATAAAGAGAAGAGGGACAAAAGAGATTGTAAAAATTATAGGAGAATAACTTTACTGAGTATACCAGGAAAGTGTACGGTAGGATTATTATTGAAAGAATTAGGGGTAAGATAGAGAGTAGGATTGCAGATGAGCAAGGAAGATTTAGAGTGGGTAAGGGATGTGTAGATCAAGTGTTTACACTGAAGCATATATGTGAACAGTATTTAGATAAAGGTAGGGAAGTTTTCATTGCATTTATGAATTTAGAAAAGGCATATGGTAGTGGATAGGGGAGTAATGTGGCAGATGTTGCAAGTATATGGAATAGGTAGTAAGTTACTAAATGCTGTAGAGTTTTTATGAGGATAGTGAGGCTCATGTTAGGGTGTGTAGAAGAGAGGGAGATTACTTCCCAGTAAAAGTAGGTCTTAGACAGGGATGTGTAATATCACCATGGTTGTTTAATATATTTATAGATGAGGTTGTAAAAGAAGTAAATGCTAGGGTGTTGGGGAGAGGGGTGGGATTAAATTATGGGGAATCAAATACAAAATGGGAGTTGACACAGTTGCTTTTTGCTGATGATACTGTGCTCATGGGTGATTCTAAAGAAAATTTGTAAAGGTTAGTGGATGAGTTTGGGAGGGTGTGTAAAAGTAGAAAGTTGAAAGTGAACATAGATAAGAGTAAGGTGATGAGGGT